TGCAACTAACAATGCCCAAGCACCTCATGCTCGATTTTTGTGAAGGAACATGAGACAAGTCTTAACAATGGGAATTGTTCCCATGGTATTTAATGCCAAACCACCCAGGCAAAGTGGAGGTGGTAGCAGGTTGGTGAAGAGGTGAGTTCCCTTTATTAAGGGAACCTACCATTTCTTATTAGAGAGCATCACCGTTCAGAAGAGTGTTTTCAGGGATGGGCAATTATTTGGGCTGGAGGGTCTCTTAAGGAGTTTCAGTGAGCTTTTGTAGGCCAGTGTGGGAAGAGGTGATGCTAACTGATCCTATCTGACCCCATGCATGTCCACCCTGCCCCCCCTGCTGGGGGCACTGGACAGAGTGGGTGGGTAGGGTCTCCATGGAGACCAGCCTGGGACCCCCGCGGGCAGAGCTTGCTTGGCTGGGTGGATGGGATGGGGCAGTCGGGGAGTGGCATCCAGGAGAAGGATGTGCAGGTGGGGCCAGGATGGCAGGGCTGTGACAGCACAGGGCCAAGGAAGCTGGAAAGACGGAGAAGGACAGAAGGGAGCTTTATTTAGACCCTTTTTTCCCCCTTAATTTTAGAGACTCACTCTCATTACTTTTTGTTGTTTTAAGTAGAGAAGTAGTGGTGGTGGAGTTGGTCTTCACTGAAAGGAGTAAAGCCGTAATGCTCATGTGCTTATATACTAGCAAATGGCCTGTCAATCCTGAATGCAGGAGCTAGTCAGACGGAGTTCTGAAGTATTACTAGGAAGGAATTGGTGTCTGGTAATTATGTAGCGTGGACATCTGCAACCAGTCTGCTCAGTTTGCCAATTCCTACAAAGAAAGTTCAGTTCCTGTTGGTTGCTTGTTCTTGGGTTAAGATAAGACTGTCAGGAGTTCTCTCCTTTTAAAATAACTTATGATGAGAGTAAGGTAATTTTTTAAACTTTAAAACATGTACAAAAAGTTGTTGCATTTTATTTAAAGGCTTGGTGAGCAATATAAAGAGCAGAGCTGGATGACAGTGTCTGACCTGGAGAGAGAGTTGCGGGAGATGGAGGCACAGTATGAAAAGGAATTTGGTGATGGCTCTAGTGATGAAGAGGAAAGAGAAGAACAGGAGCCAAGAGGATTAGATGGTAAGAGTCTGTCATACATTTTTGGCCCATTAGGTGTATCTTGAAAGTCCATACAGCACAAACATGGTTCACTGACCTTCAAAACCAGCTTTTCAGCTGGAGTAACTTCTGACTTCAACTGAGATGTGACAGGAGAGTGTTTGGCTCTTAGACTTTGGTTTTTTCCCTGGACACTTGAACCCTTTCCATAAGTAATGTTTGTGTGGTTGGTGTCAGGCTGCACACTTCACTCACCCTAACCAGGTTGAATGGGGGAACTAGGGAGAAGATGCTGGGACTTCAACTGAGAGAAGATTATGTTAGCATCATTAATGTGACTTTTTCTTGTTTTTTCTCCTCCAACTTTGCCCTTTGCAGATAAATTGAATGATGAGGCTGAAGATGTTGAATTATATGATAACCTGTACTGTCCTGCTTGTGACAAATTCTTAAAGACTGAGAAAGCGTAAGTGTGTTTTTAATAACTTTTGCAAAGACTCTTCATGTTTGCTTAAGTGATTCAGATGTGTCTGTCCATTAAAGATGATCTCTAAATTGCAGTTGGGTGCTTAAATGCTTCAAGCAATTTGAAAATCTTGCCCCTTCTGTTCACTCTTATCACTGGAATAGTAGAATTCTCTGTTCTTAACACTGGGAGAAGCTAACTACTTGCTTGCACATGTGCATGTGTGCATACATACGTAAATGCAACAAACATGCATAGAACATCACATATCTAATAATTGTCCAATGGACTCCACAGCATGAAGAACCATGAGAAATCAAAGAAGCACCGAGAGATGGTAGCACTGTTAAGACAGCAGCTGGAAGAGGAGGAGGAAGAATTATCTGTGCCTGTGGATGACACAAATGGAGGAAATGCCACAGAGGAAGAAGAAATGGAGGAAACACCCAAACAAAAGTAATTAAAAAAATGCTTAAGCTGATTAAAGTGTTTGTTACAGTTAAGCTAGTTATGGTATTCTCAGCAAGAGACCTTTGTTTATCATAGGATGTTGGAACTTAATTAACTGCTACAATGTGTTGGTGTTTTTGCTTTGGATTTCAATGGTGACATTAATGGACTGAAATAGTATCGGATAATGGTTTTCTACTATCTTTCCTATATCTTTCCATAAAGTATATTTAAAGAAAAAAGAGAGACTTTTTAACAAGGTTTTGTGCTTTTAATATTAAAAGGACCAGTATTAGTTGCTGGAGAGCAATATTGCACCAAATCAGCCTGTCTGAACTAGAAAACTTATTTACTTCAGTGAACTGAAATCCATTTCATACTTTTAAAAGCTGTACTACTTACTGCATGATTAAGCAGTCTTCTGCTTAAGCCTTTATTTGGATTCGGTTTACACAAGACTTCTACAGGTATTTCCCTAAATATAATAAATAGTATATGAAATATTTATGTCCACTTCAAAAGTGAATACTTGTAACACAAATGAAGTATCCATGGCTGACAGATCAGAACAATGACTGTTTAAAATATAGCCTAGATTTCTTATTTTAAACAGGTTGAGAATTAATAATTTGACTTTATCTTTACAGGCTGTCCAAAAAGCAGAAGAAAAAACAGAAAACAATGACGGTAGGGAGTTTATACAAAATTCTTTCTAAGGATATGTTAAAGTTAAAGCAAACCTTCTGAGACCTAGTTAGCTTTTCCTTTGGTCTAATGACCTAATTTAGTTATGGCCTCAGAAGGGAAAAAAAACTTGAGGGAAATAGAAATTCTAGTGAGGCCTTGAAAAATTAATTTTTGCTTCTAACTGCATAGTCCTCCTTCATGATTCGTGTATCTATTTTATTTATCTTTTTCCTACCACTGAAAGACCCAAATCATGGAGTGGGACCCCATTATTTTCAGCATTTTTACAAAAAGTTTGTCCCTGCCAGAAGAGCTTACAATCAAAGTGAAGACTTGACAAAAGAGAAGGGAACACTAGAACACAGTGGGTGCATCTACACATGCTATTAATGTGCAACAGTAAACTCCAGTGCACATTGTGCCAGAGTTCATTGCTCCTGGGCACCATGTTTAAACATTTGCCCAGGACCACAGTATGTTGAGCCATGTCAGAGCAGCCCTGGGCTGGCAGGCTGACCACCCAGCTCGCTTCCTGCCTGGGGCTGCTCCATCCTGGCTCCACATGTTGCAGAAGGGGTGGCTGGGGCAGGAGGGTGCTCCAGTGTGGGGCTAGCCAGCAGCCAGCCCCTGCACTGAAGCACTCTGTTGCCCTAGCCAGCCCCATTAGTGTCTACACATGTGTTACTGAGGATTAGAAAAACTCCACTGTAGGATAGTACTTGTGTTTACAAGTACTAAGTTGCAGCACAGTTGATGAGTTTCCTCTAATAGCTCTGCGCATGTAGATGCTAAGATGTTTACTGCGTAGCTAATTAGGCAAGTCTACAGTAAACATCTCATGTAGATGTGCCCAGTGAGCTGGTACTGGCCTGCACAAGAGGCAGTGTGGACAGTCAGCTTCTAAAATAAGTAGTATCCACATCAGGGGCACTTTTTTTGCCTTCTGAGAACCTACTGTATATACTGTCTCTTAAATTCAGAGTCGTCTTGGATAAACAACTCCCCCAGTAATTACATTCTATACATGAAAAATGACAAATTCGTTATTTTTCATGTAGAGAATCTAATTAGTAGAAGGTAATTTTAAATTAATTTCCCCCACTGTTGTGGCAGGGAAAGTATCAGTGAGGGAGTGAGGTCCCAGACCCCTGTCCTGTTGGTGGGAAGGAAAAACAGACACAGGGGGCAAGGGGTGGAGGCTGCAGATTGCCCCCTCCCCTGCCAAACGAGCTGGGGGGCATGCAGTGGTTCAGCTCTGGTTCCAGCCCCAAATCCTGGGGCCAAACATCGGGCTGAGCTGCTACCTACCCTGGGCCAGTACTCAAATCCAAGATGACGTTCCCCCACCTCTTCCCCCACTGATGGTGGGGGAGACAGGACGGGACAGAGGACATCATCTTGGACTTGAGTAAATATGGTATTTTGTTTCAAGCAAAACTGTGTCTAACTTTCCTAAGAGTACCATGGGAAACTCGTTACGAGCTAATATAAAGAGCTACACCAAAGCAACCTATTTGCCGTGCACAGCAGTAAGTTTTAGTGATCCCATAAAACCCGGGAATTATGCTCTATTCTTGGCATTGTCTAGTAGGACTTAACTATGGTTATAGACACAGGTAACAGTTCTAGCAATAGAGACCTACTCAAATTGCGATTTCATGATTTCTGTGTAAACTGTGAAAAATGGCAGTTCTGGCAAACGCAGTTTCCACAATTTTGCATGGAATCACTGGAGGGGAAAAATGTACTAAAAATAAAATGCTGGCTCCCCAGTGGAGCCAGCTTTGCAATCTGCTGGGTTGAGGAAAGCCACTGATGTGAAAAGAAACAGCCAAGATGGTGGCTGCTCGCTCTGCTGCTGATTGGCTGAGGGCTGTCTTTTGTGTGGTCTTGCCCCTCTCCACCAATTAGTGGCGAGGGGCAGGGCTGCATGAAGGGCTGCCCTCTGCTAATCAGTGGCAAGGGGCAGGGCCACAGGAAGGGCAGCCCTCAGTCAACGGTGATGGTTGGGGCCACCAGGGACCTCAGCCAATCAGTGGAGGGTGAGAGAGAGCTGCTTTGAAAAGACTGCAGAAATGGTAGGTGGTGCTGTGATCATCCTGTGAAATAGCCTATCTGCTGCCTTGATTTGGATAGGTCCCTGTATGTCAATTTAGAAATTATACATACATAAGCTGTTAAAATGTAACTTACCTGCATTCTACTGTGCCAGTAGAAACCTAGCAAGACCTGAGACCCTTGACCCCATTTCTTCAGGGTTAGCATTACAGCCATGCAGCTCTCTCATTTTGCTCTGGGAACATGCAGACATGAACTGTGTCATCTGGTAGGATGTATGCTCCTGAGCAGCAACAGCCTCTCCCCCTTTAAAGTGGTTGCAAGTTACAGCTGTCCACAGCCTTAGGTTCGCCCCACTAACCCTGGTCACTTGAACTAATGCAGCCAGTGACAGCAGTATCAGGTGGTCATCTTCCATATGGACCAGCTGCAGGGGGAGATGCACATTTTTGCATGCTTTGCCTCTGGGTGTCACAGATAGTTGCTGATGGTGTAGGACTGGTGGGAGCTTGACCCCCATTCCAGGATCTGCTGGGATAATGTCCTTGTGGACAAATGCTTTTGCCTCTTATCCTGTGCTTGCCATCTCCAAACTGTCCTAGCCCTGCCTCTTCCTTCACTTTAGTTCAACATCCCAGTCCTCTTGCTTAGCTGGTCCTTGTCACTCGCACCTTGTCCAGTCTGTCACCACCTTGCTTCCCCTGGCTTCAGGTCTCCCTGTCCTGGGTAGCTCCTTTGGTCTGTCTTGCCCTTTCTCTGGTTTCTTTTCCACATCTCTATGCCCACCGATGCCAGTTCCCCTTTGTCCCCATCCACTAGTCTCCTATCTCAATTCTCCCCTAGTTGACCCTCATCCTCTCACCATTTAAATTTGGAAACCTCTGCCTTCATCATGTGTGGACTCAGTGCTGGAGATGGGGGCATTTAAAAGCACAGAAGAAATCCTTGCTTTTAGTTAGGATGCATGGCCTTCTACAGCCCTAAACTGGAGCAGGCTTATTATAGACAGATTTTTCCAGGATTTAGCTGTGAAGCACTAGCACTGAGCATGTGTAAACTGCAGTTTTTCAAAGGCTCATAACTGCTATGGTGGATATTCACAGAGATGGCAAAAGGCTCTTCAAAGACATACCAGGTCAGCCCTTACCAAATTTCAAATCTCTGCTCCAAAGGAGTTAGACCAGGTCCAAAAAAAAGTTTCCAGAGCTTTTCAAAATGTTTTTTTTTTTGTATTAAAAAAAATGTTTTACCTCAGTCTCAAAAAAACAAAAAATGGTGTACCTCTGTTGGTCATGATACTTTCATGTATCATGACCAACATTTCATGTCTGGCCCTGCCTGGCATCTGGCCATAAACCTCAGGAGATGTGTGTACTGCCCATTGGGAAAAGCAGGGTAAATTAGCCCATGTAGAGCTACCTCTACACTGTACTGCTTTTGACTGTGTAGATGTGCCCTCAGTGACCAGCTGAGAAGTTCTCATTTTTGAGGTGAACTGATTAAACTGCAATTAATTGAGCATTAATCCCGATTTTTTTTTTTTGAAAAAACTTTTTTTTTCTTTAAGCAGAACTATGAAGACACTGGTGAGACCAAAAGTGCAGGTGAAGAAACAGTTGTACAGAAGGAGGCAGCTGGTGCAGACAAGGAGAAGAGTACAGTAGAAGAGCTGGAAAATGCTGGCCAAAGAGAGGCTTCTTCTGAAAGAGCAGGTGCTGCAGACCAAGATGCTGAACCACCAAGTGAAGCAAAAAGGTAATGTCTTTCTGTTTGTGTTGACTTGTAACAAGTCATTTCTTTGCATTCCTCATTCTAATGTGGTTTCCTAAGTCCTGAATCTTCTCATTAGTGTAAATCCGCTTCTGCCTCAGTAGAGCAGTTGAACTGCATGGGAATAAAACTTGTTGTAAGTCAGAAGAATCAGACCATAAATTGGCAGTAGCTTTTGATTTGCTAGAAACCACCACACTGCTTAAGTAAGAAGTATCCAGACAAATTATCTCGGTAGCAAGTAACTACAGTAGTTGGTTAAAAAGCATTATTGTTTTTGTTCTCCACAGTTTGATTCTATGATGTCTAATGCAGGGAAATGTTACAGGACCCAAGCTGAAGTTAGGCATCTCATTCGCATCTGTGCCTTTGGGGACTACCTAATAGCTCAGTGGGGGGATGCAGTGTTGTTTAAGATAAACATCTTTTTCACCCATCTGTCCACAGTCATCTTAACGTGGCATAGGTCCCCAGTCTATTTACATTAAATGACTGTTTTTTGTCTCAAGCTGTAAAATAAGAACCCTGATCACTGTTTAAAGATTTGGCTAGAGCCAAGAGTATGAAATCTTTTAAATGTTTAAAAAAATATGAAGTGAGCAAAATGGGAAGAAAACCTATGGATCACACCTGCATTTCAAGGAATATTTTAGCAAAAGAAACTCTTCAAAATAGCGTCAGTGCTACGTAGTTAAATGCTGCTGGTGTTAATTGTTGTGTTACCACAAGATTGTGGCAGTTAGCGATTTTTCTTAAATCTGTTGTTCTTGGTTGAGGTAGTATCTCAACTCTTTAAAAAATGTCTAGTTTTTGGGGTTTCAAAGAGCTGTTCCAAAAATAAACTGACAGCTCAATGCAAGAACCCCATGTTTGTATTCTAAATTTAATTTTTAACCCATTTTCATGATTTTTGTGGAATGTTGTACTGGTAATGCTGATGCGAACATTCAGATTGTTAGCCAAAAATTAGGCTAATTACAAAGTTAGTTTCCTTTCAGTGGGGTTGTTTATTGCTAAGGGTACTGGGGAGTTATACACTTATTAGAGACCATTAGCTTATTAGAAATTGCATTACCCTACCATACACACACTCGCACATACATACATACATAGTCTCACAGATGGCACACTTACATAATCAATCCCAAAGACGTTGCAGATAGGGATGGCCAGTCCCTATCCGTTGATGGAGCTGGGTATCCGACCTGGCATGCACAGGCACAGGCTCTGGTGGTGAGGCAGGTTCTTCCCCACATTATCCTTCTTCTAGCCCCCTTTTATACAGTTTGTTGCTGGGCAAGATTTCTCGAACCTTTTCTCCAAGGCAGGCACTGTTTGGTCATCACTCAGTGAAGCCCTCCTTATCTAGCCAGCCTGAACTGGTCTTCTTGTTCAAGGATGTTGCACAGGCATTTGGCCTTCAACTGTCTGCTTCTAGTTGCTGACACTACAACTTCTCCTTTCTTAGCTGTTCTGTTTTCTTCATGTCATCTGCTGCTTTGTTAGTCATGTACACCTCATTCGTACACTCTACTGCTTACTAGACTTATTAGTGATAAATTTTCTAACCTACTGGCTACAAGATGACAGTTGAGGATGCTTTTGCACCTGTGACTTAATCAAATGTTTTAGTCTGGTCATCAGTGTAGCATCCAAGTGTGGTATAAAAACGCAGACATGTTCTACTTCCCATCCCACATATACATTAAAGAAGTCTTTAATTGAATGCACGGCATCTATCAAATCTGAGAAACTTAGAGCACCTCTGCATATTAATTTATGCCCTGATTAACATGTGAATTACAGCATAAATGGGAAGGGTGCTACATGTTCACCTAATTGAAGATGCCATAAAAGGCAAACCAGCCACAGAAATATTCCACATGCAACACAGAACACGTTTATGGCTGGATTGTATGGTGCCTTTAATTTTGAATGTCAGGGACCTCAAGCACTGTTTACACCTGTAGCGTCTCATATCTTTTACGTTTACAAGGTAATTTCAGTGTTTTATGGTTCAGTGTATCTGGTTCTTCTAGAAGGTGTTCTCTCTGGAGCATATGTCTTAATAGGTTAGTCACATTAATTTGCTTTTTACAAACAACCTGTTGTTTAACTGTCTCTGCTGTCCTTTGCATCATGATAACTAATTTAATTGAAGGGTATAGGAGGCATAAATATGCCATAGTAAGCATTTGTACCAAACTATGTGAGAAATTATTAGTTAATATGGATAAAATAGGAATTAGTAAAAGATCTGTAGAGTTGGTAAGGTACTAATGAGACAGAGTAATGTTGAAAGGGCAATGCTGTGCATGAGGGAAGCTCCTAGTGGAGTTGGTCTTGGAACCTTAAATATTTTCATTAATGACCTTGGCACAAAAAGTGGTGTGTACTGATACAAATTGTGTTGAGGAGACACAGTTGGGAGACATTGTCAATACAGAAGAGGACTGAAATATCATACAAGAAAAAGCAACCGCCTTAAAGACTGGAGTAATAGAAACTGGATGAAGTTGGATAGTACAAATGCAAAGTCCTGCACTTAAAAACTGACGCTGATTTCTTCTGTAATCCTTCCCTTCCCCCAGCACTTCATTTGGTCAAAACCAGTTCTTGCTACAGTGTGTGAGTAGGTCTCCTCAGTGAGAGCTGCCCGCGGGCATTTCAGCCCTACAACTGCATTACAGGCCTGTCAGCTTGTAAAGCAAATTTGAACTATTGAAGAGCATTTCCCACCATTTGTTTGCAAACAGTTAATGCAATTTTGATCTAACTCTGTGAAGACAAAATGTCACTTTTGGAGAAACCCTAAGCTGGAAAAGTCCCAGACTATCCAGGGTATGAAACCTGCACGTTAACTATGATAGTCACTTCCTCTACCAAAGGAAATATACTGAGAAAATTACTTTTTAAATTTCAAGCAAAAGGCTTTTTCTTTAAGCTGAAATAAATGATGAACTGAAAACACAAATTCATGTAAAATAAATGTCCCCTTTCCTGGCATCTTGGATAATGTGAGGCTGGCCCTGTGCCTTACTGAAGGTAGAGCTATCTGAACATTTCCTGATGGCAGGTCTTACAAAATGTCTTTACACATCCATAACTTCCCTCTTATCTGTTCCTAAACAGTCTTACCTTGACAGACCTGGCTAATAACCCGCAAATTTGGGACCACTGAAATCTGTGGCATGTTAAAGTGACTCCTGTGAGGGTTGGATTTAACTGCTTTTAGTGGTTTAATACCATCAGACCTCCTCAGAGATGTCTTAGAAATGCTCTTCAGCATTTTACAGGTAAACTGAAATTGTTAACTCCCCTTGTTTCTTCAGTGCACCTAAGCCTAAAGGAAAGAAAGCTAAGGATCTGAAAAAATCTGCTAAGGCATCTTATGAGTCTCAAACAACGGTGAGTACAAAGTATTTAAACCTACAGATTCTTAACTTTTTGGTAAATGGCATAATGCACTGAGAACAAGGCTTTCTTGGTCTGACGCACCCAAGGCTTTGGGAGGAATGATAGAGCGGAGAGAAGGGAGCTGGGAGGAGTTGTTTTGTTTTTTGCATTGTCCTATAGGACGACACTTCATGTTTCTGCCCAAATCAGAATCTCAGAAAATCACTGTCATGTGAGCGAGCAGCTCAGGTTTGAGTAGATTGTCCCTTAGCATGCTGCCCAGCACAATCAGCCCCTCTTCTGTAGTGCACATACAATATTTAACAGTACTGGCTTCGTCCTCTTGTTATGAACATAAGCACATATTGACGAGTGTTTGTTAATGTATAAGTAAAGCTTTAATTATTAGATGTAGTCCTGTCAGCATTCACTCTGTTCCTCTGTAGGAATATTCATCCTTATAACAGGAACCTCTGCCTAACTTTCCCTACCTGTATGTGTTAACA